GTATATTTGGAGCAGGGGGTTGGACTAGATGACCTCTGGAGGTCCCTTTTGAACTGAAATACATGTTGGATTTTTCTGCTTGTCTAGATAGCAGTAAACTTGGAATTTGAACTATCACTGTATATCTCAATGTATTCCAGATCTTCACTTCTGTGTCTCTAAGCAGTAATTTGCAGTGTAAATGTATGATAATTTTGCGTTAATTTCTACGGTTTCATATTCCGACTTTTGGGGATGGAATTCTCTCAGATGTGTTTTCCTTAACTGCACTAACAGCAAATAGGAATATGTCTTGTAAAAATGTCACGCTAGGCACAAAATTAATACCTTCACTATCACTATATTTGTTTTTCTGTGCCGTTCCCTGTTCTGCATGAGATTTAGCAGAGCAGGAAGAGTACTGCTTCTGCATCTGTTCCTAGTGCTCACTCTAGACAAATAGGCTGGATATTCTTCTCTGATGTTGTCATTGGGAGGAAATACAGGAGGAAATACAAATGTTAAGTGCTTGCCTCCACACAGTGCTTAAGGAAGTGATGGCTGTAATTGTATCCAGCCAATTATACAATATAATTGTATAATTATATACAATAATAACATTATATACAATAATAACATTTCAAGAATCTGTTTCACAAAAATCTATCTGTTGAAAGTTTTCCCTAAGCATAGGCTAGGTTCACACTCCACACCAGCACGGAAATATTAGATAGGAAGATGCCAAAGACTCTTTGTGGAGATAATGGGGTTTCCATCAGGTGAGACACAGAGAAAATAAGTAGCTTCTCTACATCTTGTCCTGATTTTTTTTTTAAACACTGTGCTAAAGCTGTGACTATGAGCAACTCTGACCATCCACTAATCCCTTATCCTTTACTGCCACTAAGGCATGCAGATACCCTTAGGGTTCATCTGTTAGGATTTTCCTTCTGTGCTTATTCTTGAATTTTGTTTAGCTTCCTTAAGTCAGATGTCTCTAAATGTTTTATAACTCAGATCCTGACAGGTTTATTATGTCTATTAGTTCAATATACATTGCTTTCCTGCAAGGAGTTTTGAAACAAGACTTCATTAAATCACACAGGAAAATTATTTTTCATTTATTTTATTGAATTGATTGGCATTTCTCATTTCAAGAAAATTGAAGCAAATAATTATAAAAAGCAAAAGAAATCTCTTATTCATCTTCTGATATTATAAATCTCAAATGTCCTTGAAGAGCACTTCTGGCTAGTTGGCTGTTTCTACTTTGTTTTCACTGATTTATGATTTAATTGTAAGATTGTTTGCAAGGCTTAAGAGCAGCAATTCTTCTATAAGGAATTTAGGAATAAAGTGAACTAAAATATACCTAGGATCTTTCTATTGAAGGGCATCTTAACTAGACACAGAAGCTTCTTCAAAGTCCACCCCTTTCAAACATGCTTCTTTCCTCATGCACCTGAAGTTCACCATTCTTCCAAACTCCCTTGCTATCTCTCAGGTCTACCATGTGTTCCCACCTCTTCTAAGCATTTCCCAATTTCCTAGCTCTCCTCTTCATTAATGTGTTCCAAAATTGCATTTTTCTGCCCCCGTTTTCCCTCCCCACTTGAAACACTTTGCGTAATTCATGCTGTCAGTTTGCATTCTCACTGGACAGTTCATTAGCTGTTTTCTCCTGCTGGACTAAACTAAGGTGGGGCAATTTGGACTTACAGGTCCCTTATTAGGTAGTCCTGAAATTAGCGTGCATATTATTATAAAATATTAATAAAAAGAAAATGAAAAACATATCTGCAAGCATAAGATGGAAATATTTGCTAGTTCTTAGAAGGAAAAGGATTAACTAATAATGTAAAGTAGGGAATGTCCACTTTGTTGGGAAAGGGTTTTGTATACTATCTCCCTTCTGGTATCAGCAAAGTCAGAGTGGAATGGAAGAGAGTTCAGGTAAGGAAATCAGCAGCTGGAGTTCTGCTGGGGACTTGACAGATCTGCTCTGGATGGGTCTAGCGCTCAGTATACCTTGTATTAGCTGAGAAGCCATTAAAGTGGATATATAAACTGCAGGAATAGCATGATGGTGACATGTTTTGTTTCTAGCTTGTTAAACCAGTAATTGTTATTGCAAGTAGCTGTCATTCCCACCAGCATTTGCTTCTTGTTGACAATGAAGAAAACTCATTTGTTTTGTAGTGTGAAGCTTAATTTACTTCATGGTTGGTTGCTTTCTTTGCCTGTCAATCCCAGATCTCTGAGAAGTAAATGCAGTCAGTTTTATAGCAAGCAGAATGAGCTGTAACTAAACTGTCGATATAAAAACTGTGGCTTCTTACTGATAATGAAGGAGATCTTTTGGAAGGCACATAGGATCAAGAACTCCCTTTTGAATCATATTAGCCATGACTGCCAGTTACTGACTATACCCAGATTGGTTACCAATCTGTGAATATTTGCATCTTAATCCTTCAGTTCTACTTTTTATTATTATTTATTAAATTTGACAACTCCAGAAGTTTTTAACGGACTGCTGGCCGTTAGCCATCTGTCTGCCCAGCAGCCATCTCTCCGTACAGTAGGCAAGGTCACGCTTATAGCTGTGTCAGGCATGTGGGGAAGAGAAAGCCCCACTCTTAACTGACGCAGAATGCAAGGGAAACCTGTATAGTAAAGATTGAATTGAATTTTGAAAGTCTCATGAAGTCTCATGGATGTTCAGCTTATTCCATTCAGGACACTTTCAGTGATGGTGTAAGGAAGTCTGTGTTAAGAAATATGTTCATGGTTGGGACAGGGTTTTAATTGAAGCCTGGTCCAAGATTCATTTGAGGCACCGTGTGTTGTGGGGATATCTGCCGAAGCATGATGAAAATACATTCTGTTAAAGTGCTCAGTTTGAACAGGCCTTCAGAGTGGCTAAGCTTTCCGGGACATACTGGCCTGGTACTGCCAAAGATAAAAATCTACCTAGAAGTGGGCAGGTAGGAAGGCATGGCCACAGCTGGAGACTCCACCAGCAGGAGCTGCTGCAGAAGCAGGGCTGTTGTTGCACTGGAAAGTGCAGCTAGACTGACACTGCAGCCCGCAGAGCAGGTGGGGCCAAGAGGACCTAGTGGTTATTTCTGCCCTGTCCTCCACATTGCTGCTGTACATGCCAAGAGACCCAGGAAGGTTTGAGCCAGCAGGAATAGCTGCAGCAGTAGCCCAAACAGGGGCCGTCAGGCCTTTGGACCTTTGAAGCACAGTCCGTGCTGCCCTTCTTTCTCCTCACTTCAGCTTCCCTCTCTTACTCCATTCCATCCAGGCCCGGTCCTCATGACTCCCCCCTGCCCTTCAAATCCCTCTTCGTTTGCTTTTACCTTGATACACCCTAAAGGAATCCAATTAGAAGATGAAATGTGAAATGAATATATCCCTGGTTAACACAGTATCAGCTCCTGTTTTTGTGTTGTCCCTCACTTTTATGCTGTTTCTGTTGTCTCTGATACTCCAAAGGTATTCTTGCTTACTTGACTCCTGACACCAAGACTCACTCTGAGGAGACACCTCCTGCTTGCACCTGCAGAGCGCGCAGTGTGAGGAAATCCCCTTCTTTTAAAATTTCTTAAGCTTGCCCATAGTAAGTATCATTAATAACAAAAGCATGCCCACCTACAGGGAAAGGGATGTTCATGTCATCTGTGGTATGAGCCCCTGGTACGGGCTGTTGTCTCCCATCAGAGTTTGTTCTGATGTCTGGCTGTGCTCTGCTGGCTCCCAGGTATCCGTGCACAGCCCCAGTCTGCATGAGGCAGCCTGCCAGCACCTTTACAAACTGTTGCACTCTGCATAACATCCATTCTTCCCTTGCCCTCACTCCGGTAGGCACACCCCATACAGCTTCTGCTTGGCTGTCTGGTATTGCATCGTGTGAGCTCATCTGCCACAGACGGGATGCGTGACGTGTTTTGCCTGCCGGCTTTAGTGGCACTGACACTGAAACAAGTCACTGATTACAACTGTCTGTTCTCACTTCAGCAAATAGGAAATATCACAGTGGAAATACATAATCCTAGTTTTCACCCTAGGTCGAAGAAACCTAAAACTTGCAAAAATGTGCATAGAAACTATGAGCATTTAAAGTTGCAGAGTTCTGTGTGCACTGACCTTTAGATACTAACTGAACAGTGTCTGGATTTTGGCAGTTGTCAGCTTCCAAGGGAACAGAAAGCAAGCCACTTGTCATGAATAATCCCATCTTTTTCTTTTCTGAATTTTGTTGGTTTCCATCAGAACACTTTAAGGTTCTGATGGAAAGATGATGGCGTTTGAAGGTTAACTACTAGCTTTAAGTAATTAACTTCTTTATCATCACCCACAGTTAGTTGAGTTCAGTAAAAATAAATACTGTAAATCTGCTTATGTGTAGTTTGATCTTTGTGCAGCTGTGAAAGAATAAAGCTTAAATTACTCATATTTGAACCCAGAAGATCCTACAGAGCATTTTAGAAGCCTAGAAAACACTGCACAAGAATATCCATCGCTATACCACCCAACTGTGGTTGCAAACAGAGCAGCTAAAAAGTAAGCAGAGAATTTAAGAATCTTGTCTAAATAAGATAAGAAATAACCTGGATTTTGGCCAGAACACCCCTTTTCTCCCTCCTCTCCCAAATAAGAAGCTCAAATGACCACCAGTAAGCAAGACCTTTGTTGTTGCATATTCCCCCACAGACTACACTTCTTGTTGGACAAGTACAATTAAGGATTCAAAGGCAAAATATAAAGTTTGAGCATCCTCTTAAATACTTCTTACTGCTAAGAACATTGGGGAATATTGACAAGAGCTCTAGGAAAGAAACAAACTTTACTGTTATATTTGCTTTTTATAAAAAGGCGGTCAAAATTTGGCATTCTCTCTCCAATTATTTGTGCTTTCCAAGGTCTTGCAGTCTTTCTTTGCTATCGCGTATCTCTGTTCTGGGAAGGGAAAATCCATCCTTTTAAAAAAATAGTTTCCTATGAGGTTACAGACTCACCACATCCATGATCTGCATGAGGCTGAGAGTGAAATAGACAGTGAGAGGCTGGGAATCATTCGCGACCGGTCGTTCCAGAGGGTTGTAATTTTTCAGCAGCTCCTTATAAAGCTTCCTTTGGAACTCTCCTTGCAGGGACTCTTTGAGCACGGGAATAAATAGAGAAATGATTGGGATTCTACATCGGGAAGTAAAACTACGGCGTTATGTTCTTCTCGTTATATCAGATATCATGTAGCTGTTACCCTACACGCTGCATAAGAAATGCCACTGGGATTCATAGAGTTCATCAGCTACTGTAGCAAAATCGTACCACAAATGTATTATCATCCTTTCCTTTCATTCCATCCCATAAGGGGGATTCCCTCTTTGGCTGGCCAGGAGTGGCAAACTCTACTGGGTAGTGACACTTTGTCAACACGTGCACGCCGTGGTCCAGAGGCGAGAGGTGGTGCGGAGGAAATTCCCCACCTCTGTGGTGACACCTGCCCGGGCATGGCTGTAACCAGGGGCACAGAGCACGGGTACGGCAGAGGGCATCAACGAGACAACGGGAGAAAAATGGCTACAGGTTAGGACCAAGCCTTGCTCTCAGAGCTACAGATCTGAACTCTTTGGGGCAGGTGCTCAGCACTTTGTGCTCTGTCCACAAAGTGTGGGTACCGGGTCCCTGGCAGGGACGGCAGGCGCTACATCAATGCACCTGATAACGTTCAGGGACTTGTATCCTTTTTACACATGGAATCCGGGGAGGATCTTTATTCTGCCATTTTCTATGGAGGGAGGGGGAGCAGCTCCGCACGGATGGAGCGCAGCAGCCCAGGCACAGCGGCACTTTGAGACGGAGAGGAAATCTGGGTCAGGGCAGAACAGGTCCCCCGCACGTGAGCCGCCTCCGTGCCCGCTCCGGGCAGACTCTGCTCTCCCCTCTCCTTTCCTGGTCGCCAACTCCCCCCTCTACAGCAGCAGCACTCTGCCGGCCAGCAGCTGCGGCTGAAGTGCCTCCAGGGGCTTCTCCCCGCTCCCCGCCGCCCCGGGCGCCCCCCAAGCCCCGGCCGGCACCTCGCCGCGCTGCCCAGGGCTGCGGAGGGCAGCGGCACCCCCCGGGCACCGGCACCCCCCTGTATCCCCGCCCGCCCGTGCGGGGCTCACTCACCGCGCACCAGCCCCGCCGCCGCCAGCAGCCACAGCACCAGCTCCCGGAGGCCCATTGCGGCGAGGGAGGGAAGGCGACAGCGAGAGCAGCAGCAGCAGCAGCACGGTTCTCCCGCCGCCGACCCCCGGGAGCCGCCGAGGACCTCTGGCGGCTCGGCCCCTTCCTGCGCCTGGCTGGGGCTGGGGCTGGGGCAGAGCCCGCTTCCCTCAGCCTGCCGCGGCCCCGGCCCGCGGGCGGCTGCTGCAAGCCGGGGGGATGCGGCGCCGAGAGGCTCCGCCGGTAAAGAGGCGAGAGCAGGGAGCCCCCTCCCTGCCGGGCAGCCGAGCCCCGCCCGCTGGCACCTCCCGAAACGGCAGCGCCGAGCCTCCCGCCCTCCCGGAGCCTGCCCCTCGCCACCGGCGGCGGCTGTTCCGCCACGGGCACGGAGCAGCCCGGGGGGGCACCCGGGGAGCCGGGCGGGACGGCCCTGCCCTGCCCTGCCCTGCCCTGCCCTGCCCTGCCGGGGGGAGCCGAGCTGGGACCAGCGCAGGGCCCTGGCGGGGACTTGGCTTCGGGCAGGTTTTGGGGAGGCTGGAGGTGGCAACGTGGTGTCGGTGCTCGCGTGGTGGGTCAGGCCCCAGCAGAGGTTCGAGGCCAGTGGCGCTGGTGTGGGATGTTGCGTTCAGATGCAGGAAAAGCAGCTGTGGTTGAGGTGCGTGGGGCCAAGTAAGCAGGCCTAGAAGATTCAGTTGAACGTCAGGTTCCCATTTGCAACTTTAAGCATGTTTCTGATGCCACGTAAGGGTTACGTCTTTCCGTCCAAATCCCTGCCCTTCAGTTGCTGCATTAAATGAATATCCAGGCAGCTGCATTTAAGGGAGGATGGTGTTGTAGGATCTCCCCATTTGCAGGAGGTAACTCAGTGTAAATGCTTGTTCTTCACATCACCCAGCAAACAGCAGTTCGTAACTCCATGTTAATTTTCAGCTTTAAAAATCCAGGTAGTGTGTTTTGTGTAAAGCACTGACCTACCTTATGTAGCTACTGTTTAAATGGTTTTAGACACTGAGTGCAGGACCAGATGAAACAGGGCAATGTGAGTAGCCCAGAACACCCCTGCATCGGGTGTTTAGCCAGTTAAATACAGCAGGACTGAACCATTCAATTCCTCTTTCAGATGAACCAATGTGCTGGACAGCTCTGCCAGGGGGTAGTGGAAACCGGCAAGGAGCAATGGTAACTCTCCAAAAGCCAGGTTGTAGCTAATGTAGGAGCATACACTGATTACATTCTCAGGTGTTTTGAAATAGTCCGTCTAGGTTGAGTTTCATTATTTCCCTTTTTTGTTTTGGGGTGGTTTTGTTCCATGAGATCTTGACACTTCAGGAACACCTAGCAGACAGGAGTAAGTTACTAGGATCTCTGTGTTATTCACAGAGGAACCGAGTGTTATTAACCATTTGTAATTAAACCCTCATATGGCAGTGCTCTGAGTACCCAGATTTTGCCTCTTCACGTTTTGGAAGGAAACTCCTTCTCTCTTCCTTCTGCTGTCCACTGCTGCTTTGGCACAGGTCCCTCAGGCATTTCTAGATGGACAGTCAACAGCAGCAACTGATCAAACAGCAAATTTGGAGAGCAAATTTACAGTTCAAGGCTGACCTCTGCTGTTGGCTCATTTTGCTCTGCACATTGCTTTGTTGCCAACTGCCTCACCCCAGCTGGTGAAGGCAGCACTGTGGAAGCTTGCCCAGCCCAAGGTCCTCAGCAGCCTGTCAGGGGACTCAGCCGTTCCCTTTAGGCCACGCCAGCCTGTATCTCCTGACTTGTTTGCACCAGACCCCTCCATCTCCTTCTTGCATCCCCATTCCTTCTAGACCACACAGCCCCAAGCCTTCGCCCCCTTTTCCATCTCTCCGTGTAGCAGGAGCACAAGGCAGGGTTGCTGGGCAGGGATGGAGGAGGAGGTGGTGTTGCTGTCTTGGCAGCAGCCTGCCCAGGAGAGAGGTGCTGTGGTTAGACAGCAACCCTGCAGGAGCTTGCATACCTTACAGCAGTTGGGAAAGCAGAGTAGGAGTACTCTGAGATGTATTGCTGAGGCTACCTCTTAACTCCTCCAAGCGATGGCTGGAAAGAGAGGCAGTTCACAATGCCTGAATGGTCTCTGGTTTCAGGAAAGCTGAGAAGCTTCAGAATGAACTGTGTGTCTTTGGTCTTTGTCATATACAACTGGCTCTGGAAACCTGCCTCCCTGGAGGCAATGAAGAGGATGGAAGGTACCTCTCAGCACAGCAGCTCTGGGCTGGGTGCCCGTCAGCAGGAGGTGGAGTTGGTGGCAGGGAGGGAGAACACCGGGTGTCCCTCTGCCATGGCTTGCAGCCTCTGTAGCTGGAAGTACTCGTGTGCAAACCTAGAGGGCACTGGGACCTCTCTTGTTCTCCTGGCACCTGATCTCTGCATCTCCCTCAGTGCACTAGCATTTGTATTCAGAATGATGTCTTCAGAATTATTACTCGTTTAATAATAAATCTATTAGACTTTAGTAGGTTTGCTTGTAAAAAAAAACAAAAACAAAAACAAAACAAAAGTTTACTCTGTTTTTGAGAACAGATCAATAAAAATATAATTGCTAATTAGAAGAGATGAAAAAGGTAAACTCTTCAGGGGGTGGTGCTGAAGCCCCAAATTCCAGTAATAGAAAGACTGAATGAATAATTCATAACTATTTCTTTGATAAATCTTGACTTATTTTTCTGTTTGTGGATGTCTTATTTGTTTTTCATGTTAGCAAATTAAATTTTATAGGCACTTTGGAAATTGCACGCTGTAGATATTCTATAATAGCAATCTGCAGCCAAACTCCTTGATTAAACTGTGTTCCTTAAGTGCTAGCGGGCAGCTCAGTCAGATGCATTCCTGTTAAAGGATTTTCCTTTCTAGTCAAAGGTGCTGATGTGAATGCACATGAACAGCAGGAAAGGCTGGAGTTTACTTTTGGTAGATATCCTGGCTGGCAGAAGTTAATTTCACAAATACTTATATGTACTAGCAAAGAAAGATAAGCACGTACTGTACTAAGTCCTCTGAAAGCCTTCACTTATGGCACATGTTTTTGTAAAAGTACTTTGTACACAACTGGGAAGAAAGCTGTACAGCCTGTGGCCAGCAGAGGCTCTTTCCTGTGACTCCAATGCCCACCAGAGATAAGACTCATTCTCCTGTGGGCTTTAATTCTTCTTTCTGTAGTACATTATCCAGGCAGGTGATTTGGAGCCATCACCACTCCCCAGGTAATGCATTTTTAAACAAAATGATGAGAGCAAATCCATTTCACAATTAGAGGCTGTAAAAGCTGTTGTGGGTCTCCCAGCCCACCTCCCACTTTGGGGCCAGACTATGGACAACCCCTTAACATCAGTTCATTTGTCATGTACGTTGGACATAATTCAGCAAGGCAGTTGTGCATGTCTTATTTGTGAATAGCCAACATAATCACAGAGACAACAGTATGCACAGATCACATATCTTCACAGGAAGGTCAGGCATAAGAAAATAATTTCAGTAATAGTGTTTATTTAATGTCAGCATGCTTCCTGTTCCTCCTTTATCTGGTAAGCAAAGAAGTAAATACATCCTTGTGCAAAAGGCACAAGTCTTCATTCAAGTGCTACTTCAAGAATTTGAGTGAGGCACAGAGCTATCAGAAACAGACCTGGAATTGTGAAATAAAGCATCTATGGAAAAGGCCCTCTTCGTTACTGTAACATGTTTCCCAGTTTCATTTACAAGGCCGGCTAGTACGTTGGTCAGTTAAAAGAACCAGGGATTGAAGGACATTAAGAACAACTTGTGCAGTCATTTTGAGATGCTGAAATTGTCCAAAGATTATAATATCCCCAAGCATGAGGAATATCTTTATTTTTTCTCTGTACAGACTTGTGGGGGATCAAAAGCACTCACCTGCCTAATGTGACAGAAGACGATAAGATAGTCCTGAGACTGGGCTGGAAGAAGTGACCGTCTTACATGCAGCTTTAACGTGCCTGCAGCACTTTCTGACTTTGATCTAATTATTGTGCAACTGCAGTGCCCCAGGACTTCCATGTCCAAAAAAAGTCTGCCTTTCCTTCTTTTAGAGAAGAAGGCAGAGTAGGCTAGGATTTTAAATGGTAACTTACAGTATACGTTAGGTGAGACATGCCTACATTTATCTGAATGTTAAGCAACTTAAAGTAATTGCCTCTTTAATTGTTACCTTTATTTTCTGATTTTGATGTAGTGTTAGTAATGGTGTCTCGTGCTATTATTTATTCTCTATGGTTTATTTCGCATCACTAGTAGTCTCAGTGAGGGAGAATGTATCAGTGAAGAGCTTGAATTTTTTCTATAAAATGCCCTGAAATAATATATTGCTTCTTCTTTGCCAAGACGTAGCAGATAGCTTTGCTGGTGATTTTTCTACTGAAGGACAAATTAATGATTTGAAGTCTGGTTATTTTTGTAATTAAACTTGATGTTCTATATACAACAATACATTCCCCAAATGGTCAGTGGTTGGAAAGGATAAAGAAGGGCACAAACTATATTGTTGTGTAAAAATAACAAAGCTGCTGCACTTCCACTCTGCAAGAAGCAAAAACAGAGAGCCTGTCTAAACAGTGTTCTACTGTGAAGAATAAGGATTTGTAAAATTTGTCTAATGAATTTGTGTAACTAGTGATTTGTGTAATAGGGCACATGGTCATTTCTATAATGCCAACACCTTTCACATTTCATTCTCATCCCTTATTGTTGTTAGCATACACACACATTATGTCTGAGTATAGTTATTAAGCAGCAGCAGTAACAACACTATGAAAATGCCAGAAGAAATCCTAGGCTCTTCTGGTAACTGGAGCTCAAGCTACGTAAGTACGGATACTCCTGGATCTGATGGCTCAGTCTCAGTCACTAGGTGTCACATCAGACAACTGCAGAGGTTTTTCAGCATATCCACCCTACTGGTGCTTTTTGTGTGTTGAAAACTGGCAGATTTTTATTTATGCCATGCTTAGCACATTTCCACTTTGTTTTCTGTATAAGGAATTATGTGTTCCACTCATTTCAGCCGCTGTCATTTTCACTTCTTTTGAGTCATTTTGTAATCCCAGGGCTTGGCATTCATTTCTCACAGGCGCAGAGTTCACAGCATTACAGAGTTACTTTGCCATCTTTTTGCATGAGTGTGAACAGCAGAAAGTTGGCAAAACTGCTTTTCTTCACCCTGCTTAATTTTAAATAACTACATAATTTAAGGTTCACAGAAGCTAATTAAAGTTGACAAGAAATCTGCATGTTAGGCCTGCGGCTTTAACAGTTCCTCATCTAAAAGCAT